TAAATTCGGATTCTTCGGTCATTTATGCTCGAAGAAAGAAAATGCATGGCGTATCTGTAAATGAACATGAACTTGTGGTCGACTAGCAGGGTATTAGCAAGGAAGTTCTATTTTAATGATCGCTTCAATGGAGACCCTGATTCTCCAGGTAGATGTTTACTCCTTCGGGGGAATCAAGCACTTCTCCTAAGGATCCCAAATATCGCTAAATTATTTAGTCAAAACAAGGTCTTGATCGAAAAATTCAATAACCGATGCACATAACTCGCTACGAATAAGTATCGGTCAGTAGAGCACAAGTCTAGCATATGCTAGTCTACGAGCTATATTCACACTGTCAGTTAACCTAAAAACGTCTTCCTCGTCATATGCTTAAGTGGCAATAGAGTCTAATGTCCTTAGAAAAGGGTCAATTTCTGTGCCAAAACAGCCATTATTGAGCTTACTAAAGTTGATGTCATCGCAGTGTAGGCATTACAGGCGACGTAAGACCACCCAGTAACCGTAAATATACGAAGAGCAGGACACAAAATGAACTATATAAATGGACTAATTTTATCCTTTTCGCACTACCAGTTCAGGTTTTTTCTCTGTCCCCTTCAATGTTACAGCCAATGAGCGATTTTCGCACACAGGGAAGAAAAAACATGCTTACATATTTGACACATTTCATCTGTGGAAAGCGCACTCATTTATGAAGAATAAGTAATATGCTGTAGCTCACAGAAGTTTGGAGTGGATGCAAATTATAAAACACTGCGATGACTGGTTTTGTCATGTTTATTTTCCTGAACGTGAGTGAGATTTCGGTCAACACCTCCAAAGCACTGACAATTCATCAGTTCTTTCAGCAATTTATTTGAAAAAACCCGAACTACTGTCGATTATCACACTGTCTACATAAAAACACTATGAATCAGACCAAAACAGCTTTGTGGCAAAAAGCGATGGAATGAACTGAAATGTACAGATATTGCTACAGGTCTTGTGGGTGTGTGTACTGTTTTAATCAAAAACCGTGTGCTAATTTCTGCTTGGAAATAGCCTTCTTTATAAACTTGGGTTGAGGTGTCGGACACTTTAGACCATTTTCAAACCTGGGTAGGACGCAGTTAAATGTACATGTTGCAATTGTGTAATTTGCAAATCGAAGCGTTTTGACAGATGATACACTGTGATCAGAGCAGCAGAAATAATGTTGAACGGGGCGACAAAAGCAACATGAAATTTATTTTGGAGTCTTGTTCTTTCCCGTTTAAGTAATTTGTTCTTACTACCCTCCCCTGTGCTCAAAGCTGACCGTCTACCGATAAAATCTCAATGCCAGAGCCCAATCGAGAGGGGGTACACTGACCAAAGGATCACTAGTCTCAACTAACTAAACCTGATAAGCCCACCGACATACGTGCATTTTGAAAGGATACAATACTTCAACTTGTCTCCCATCGTCAACTGCAGATAGTGAAAGCAAAAAAGCAGTCAGTTAAAACACTTGCTGTGGAAGTCTACGCCGCTACCACCCAACATCATGTTTCCAGCCACGTGGCTAACTGATTTAATGACCGCAGGCAGAAACGTTGCTGTCAGACTGAGATGGTAGCGGAGATGTGACGCGTTGTAAAGAGATTACCCGCTGCTAGTAAAGTTGCGATTTGTTACTGGTGTTGTCGCTAAGATCCAGTCACATCCTCCTCTACGCGGCCTTACCAGACCGGAAACTAAATGAGGCTGTTGCCGGAGGCCTGTCCACGTCTCTTAACCTTCGAATGCGGCATTTGAAACCAAAGGCTGCCAGAGTACCTCTTATGCATTTTGCCACTCTATTCAACTTTGACTGTTGCTTTATTTCGCAGGATCGCTGGCGAAAGAAGCAGATGGCGTGAAGTCGAGGAGGCATGGCGTAGGCGAGAGAGGAGCACTGAGCACCACTGCTGCGCTGAATCCGATGTCCCATTCGCGGAGAGCTCAAGGCCACTTTTAGTCATTATTCTTGAAATTCCCGGGGTAAGTTCTTCTTCTATCAGGTCCTATTGCAAAAAAAACAGTCCTAACCGCTTTGCCAGCGGAGTGATCACGGGGTTTTAGGAAGTTTGTTCTACCATGCACAAAAACAACTCCGAAAAGAACGACACTCACAGCCTAAAATAAGATATTGGGCAGTTATGTGATTCAAATTTCTAAAACCAAAACAGCTTCCCTGAGAACATGACATGGAGCTTTCCGAGAATTTATTTCTGTCCACGCTCTCCTCAGATCAAAGACGGCCATATTTTTCAAAACTTTCCGTCTCCATGGGCACGAAAATCAAAAGTAGGAAATGCACTTGTATCATGACCAACTGACAGCGAAGGCTCCTAACTGTCTTCAGCATTTAATCTTTCAAAGTTTTTAACTAAGCTAATTTCATTGTGATACTGGTGCTCGCCATCTCCGCATTAGTCACATTTATAGTTATTAAACTGAATAAGTGTCGACCAGCCGACGGCGGGGCAGTCGAAACATTGGTCCGTAACTGCAGGGTCGAAAGCTCTAACCCCACATCGTGCTAGTCAAAGTACGCACATTATTGAAGACAAGGTTTGCTCGTACAGTACATAGGCTAACTCATGAAATGTCAACCGAAATTCCGAAATGCGTTTTCGCTTCGAAAATATTAATTAAGTAGGACTGTAAAACTAATCAGCAGGCAACAGAATTCTAAAATATTTCAGCTACCACAAGATGCCCGCTTTCAAATGAACTTCTTTCCCGCTGCATGCAGAATCTACACTCTGTAAAAATGACTACTTACGTGGCATGCGCTTTACTCATTGTTCTTCTATGCCCCAAAAGTCCAAATATATTTCATGGAAAATGTGCATAAAAATATTCATTCTTTTGCTCATTTGGCAGACATTTACCTCTTCTTCTGATAGTAGGTTTGAATGAAGGACATAATTCGGTTTTAAAAAAGTTTTCAATTGTGGAACTTTTTCATACCATGAAATGTCCATTTATAAATCGTCATGTCTCTGCATTTACCAATGTGTCTCGTTAAGTTAATGATATGAATCAAATCCACTGTTAGATTCTATGAACCCTATATTGTCCCTCCTTATTACCGTAGAGACATTTGTGGTTTTCCGTACGCGGAAAATATACGGCTTGTAATTTGAAAACCCTGAATCCAAGTGTAACGGTAGAGCGGGTTCAAAATTATTCGGGAATTGGAAAAGTTTTTAAAACCGAATTATACCTCTCCTTATGAGTGTGAACTTGAAAAAAGACGTAATTTTCTACCGAATGAGCGGGAGAATAAATATTTCTACGCATGTTTTCCATGAAATTTAATTGGACATTTGGGGCATGGAAAATCAATGAGAAAATTTCATGCTACATGAGTAGTCATTTTTTACGGAGTGTAGTTTTTGTATGCGGCGGGAAGGAAGTTCGTACAAAAGCCGGCATCATGAGGTAACTGAATTATTATAGAAGTATGCTGCTTGATGATTTGTTCCCCAACTCTACTTAATTAATCTTTTCGAAACGAAAACGCATTTTGGAATGTCGGTTGACATTTCATGAGTTAACTCACCTACTGTAAAGTAACTGCCTCTGCTTGTCCTCCTTGTACAGGGTGACCAGCTTACCGTCACCTCCTTCCGCTCTGTCCTCGGTGGAGTCACGTGTCAACGAATGGACTTAATCGGCGATTGTTAACATAACGGGATGTAGACCACCTCGGAAAACGCGTGAGCGCTTAGGTAATCGTGCAAATTCCCTTAATGCCGGATGGCCATCAGAGCTGTTTATCGTTCTAGCAGGCCAGAAAGCCAATAGCTCTTGAAAATGACTCGGAAACCAACCTTTTCACAGAGCGTCATTGTTTGTTATCAACGATCATTGCGGCACGCCAGATACTTTAACGTCCTTCCATTTCTTGAACACCATGCACAAATAAAAAAGTCGCCTGTAATTATTCCTCTTATTTTAAAAACGGAAATGTCCAACTCTGTTTTGTCCATTCTTCCATTCGACTGATGAAATAACCGGTGCGACAACTGATTTCCCCAAATTTGCTCTTTTAGTGATCTTTAATGAACTTTATGAGTTCCTGCTGGATAAACACCGTTACATGCTTACCCTTTAATTTGAATAGTTGATACTTGAACTGAGAGGATTCGTCAGGAAACGGAAATAGGGACCCAGTTAATACGAATGTTCTGACCCTAGTCCTAACTCCAACCCTAACCTCTGGAGAATATAACGAAGGTCAGTAAACATTTTGTCTGATCGACAGTTTGATTCCTTTCCACAATCTTCAGAAAACCCAAAAAAATATATGTGGAGTTAAAGCTTTGAGAATGCTCTTGGTGACTTAATCATGTCGACCAAGTAAGTGAGGCTGACCGACTCTGTGCCAGTCTAATCAATTTGGACCTCTGATTTCCGATTAACCACTTCTCGGAACAGCAATGTTGGCTCCGCGTGAAACGTCTAAGTTTCCACTTGTTCAGTGCATTCTATGCTGAAAAAGTAGAGGTACTGAGAGGCTCTGCCAGGATCCTCTCGTTCAAAGTTCAGAGTCCAAAGCAACTGAAGTGGGCGCACTTTATTTACCTCAACGCAAGCCTCCCTCCCCCTCTCTCTCTCTCGAGAGAGAGAGGGGGGCCGAGTAAATCAAGGACTGCACACGCACACCACCATCTTTTATGCCCAGCCTGATTGGCTGACTGACTTGAACCGGACCGTTTTTGCATACGTTCTGCGTAACCATTCTCGAAGGCGTGTAATGCTTAGTACAGCCTGCAAAACCGGAAGCGGGGGCGGACGGTAGAAATGCAAGAACAATGTTTGTGACGCAACCGCACATCCTAGCCCCACTCCCCCCCCCCCAGGCACCGCCCCGCAGTCACATGCACTACGGCCCATCATCGCAGCGATACTAGTGCATATAAATATACAAAGAAGTATGCGTGTGTGTGTGTCTGAGTTAACTCAGTCCCTGGACGAACACTTCAATGCCTCACGTACTGGCGTTTAGCCTCCTCCTCCTCCTCCTGGCTTCGTCCCTGACGAGGGCTCAGGAGGCAACTCCTTCGGACCTGCCTCCTGAATTGGTTGAACTGGTAGGCATAACCAAAATTGCGCCTCAATTAATTTCTGCATTTGCCTTCTATAGGACTCACCTCAGAGAAAAGTGAGCTTCTTCTCCTTTGCAACAGACGGTAGTGCTGGTCCGCATGTCGTGCTGAATAGGAAAATGTTCATGTACAATGATGCAATCTACTCGAATTGGACAGACTGGCAGAACTGTTCCAAGTACACTTGTAAGGAGTATCGATACCGCCAGTGTCTGAACGACTCCCACAAGGAACCCATCGGCGACTACCGCAAACGTGATATTTGCATCTTTAAGTTCATTGCAGAGGAACGTCCCTGCGCGAATCGGTCTGAATGTATTGAATCAAGTAAGATTTCTGAGTCTGTTAGGTTTTGAGCGAAATTCCATCAGTTTCTCTCCCTATTTTAACGCACAGATTAATTTATCGGTTCTCAATGAAATGATTATAAGACATGAATTTCCTTAGAAAACTAAGTGTATGGCAATGCTGCCCAGAACTATCTGAAACCCACACCACTCATGACGGAAACATTAATTTTAAACTTTTAGAAGATTATGTGTGATTGTTTATAAGTCACGTCCCAGAGTTTAATGGAGTCGCATTTGCAGAAGTTAATCTTTTCATTCATAAGTGATTTTTTTAGAAAAGGCAGAATAAACACGTAACAAAGTTATTCAGGCTACTATAGGAATGAAAAATGCGAATTTTCTTTAAAAACTAAAATTTTCCTTTACTATAACACCCTTAACTCAGCCAAGATTAAATCATTTTCAGCCCTTCTGTCTCCCTCAATGGTAGCATTTATCTAACGTCTCTTTTGATTCGCCCAATGAATTTGAAACATAAACTTCCTTTAACCTCGATGACCAAGTTTCCCTCGAGAGATGAATAAGCAGGACCGAAAAAAAATTCATCAAAGAACCAGTGTAGGGGTCACCTGTTTGCACGTTTACATGCGCAAGACATACTTTTATTTAGTACTGTCTGGAGATTTCAGTTAAGTTCACTTCCTACATCCAGTTTGAAAGCAGCAGATGAAAAATGAGGAGTCATATGGGCTTTTAATTATGTTTACTGACAGGGCTGATTCATCTAGGTCTAGTGAAATATGGAAGGAAAATCTGAACCATCTAAAGGTAAGCATTAAAAAGTGTTCTGTGATGGTGAGTAGTACAAAACACGTCCAGCTGCCCTGAGAGCCGACGATTCCGCACTATAACTAACTGCAAGTGGACCGCTCAATTCCATTTAAGATATTTCTGACATTATAATTTTTTTATCCCAGAGAATATCCAGCTACTAACTTCTGATCACCAGCAAATTCACTCTTGTTTTTCAGCAAAACAGATGTTAGTGTCCCTATTTAAATTCAAGCGTCAGAACACAGGCGAAGAGGGGATTAGTCTAGAAAAAAATCGCATGCATAAACGACAGTGAGGTCCCAAAGCATATTTATCATAGCGCAAAAGGCAAAAAGGCATGTAAATATTTTTGAACTCAAAACGTTCCTACATCTTCTAACGAACAGGAACCCGGAGACAACAGGTGAATGCTGGGCTTCAGCTAATCTTTCGGAAAACTGCGAGAAATTCCTGCCCTCTAAACTACCACTTATCACTCCGTCAGATTTCCTTTATGCTTCAACTTTCTGTGGCATTTTGATTCCCAGTAGTAATTTTCTCGCAAACCGGTATTTTAAGGGGGTGTCCTGCCCAAGAGTGGGGTTTCTCAGCAGGTTATGCAAAGATTTTGTATATGGAAATTTCAGCACGAATTTTTCCTTAACAAATGAAACCAGTCTTGCGACAAATGATCCAAGTCCCTAATGGGGACGCAAGACATAGCAATGACGTCATATGACGTTGTACGCAACCGCGCATCTGACTGAATGCCGGCATTGTACAGGTCTCAAAACCCTTTCCAATGGAAACCGATAATCTAACAGTAAGCCGGATGCAAGTTGCGCCCAGAAAGGATCGAGTAATAAAGAAGAGTTTTTTTCTGAGCACTTAGGGTGAAGCCCTAATTACACACACCTTATCCTGACCAGTCTCAAAAATGGATATTTCCTGGAAGTAACAGGGAATCTCAATAAACATGGCAGACTTCTGTGGCTGGCGGGCCTATGTGCTTGTCCAGAATCAGGCGTTTACAAGTTATACCGCTGATGCAAAGTCGGCATTCTAAGCGAACCAATCATGAAGTTCTGCCGATGCAACAAAGAAAATGCTGAACAGTCCATCCCTGCTCGCCTGCAACTTTTTATTCCGAGAGTGGAAGGTGCCCTAATCTGAACCTGTTTTAGAAGCTGATCGTCAGAGCCATATTGGGGGAACGCTGAGTAGTCAGTTAGGACATGGCGCAGAACAGAGCGGCGACGCTTAAATTGCACGTTTTGGGTTTTCCTCGAGCTTTTTATACAAGATTTTTCTTCTCTTCCACGCCCCACAACAGGAGGACCCTCACCAATTCTACTAAATCTCTCACAAACATGCGGTATTCGTCCACCTGCCAAGCCAACCGAGCTGAAAATAATGGGAGGTCGCCCGGCAAAACCGAACAGCTGGCCCTGGCATGTGAGTACACGTTTTATGTATGCAGATATGTTCAGTTTTTATTAGACTCCTGCCTGAATCGTTTAGACTTTACCAGTAAGAGGTGGAATATTTGACTTAGGGAGTACCCTGATGCATCCTTCATGAAGTTATTACAGTAATTTTTGCGTAGAATTCAACATGTCCGCATTCAGAGCAGTGAGCGCCTCAGTGGACTCCTGTGAAAATTTCAGCGTCAAGGGCAACGGTATAGAGTAGGACCCCACGGAACTGTCAGTAGATTGTGGATCGTGCCATACGCGATTTATGGCAAAGGGAGTTTTATGGGTGGGCAGCACGCTAGGCAGTAAGCCGACAAGACAAAAAAACATAGAAACTGCCTGCATTTATGCCGAAAGTCTTATCCTACACTATTGTACGACAATGGCAATTAGAATAGTAATTAAACAATAAGCAAAATTAAATTTTACAAAATAACGAATTTTAAGTTAAGCTGTGGCGTCGAGGTAAGTAATCGTAGCTGGCAGTATAATTTCTGCAACAGCGTTCAAATGTATGCTAGAATAAAACCCCATATGGCATAATCCACAGTCTACTGACAGTTAAGTGGGGTCCTACTCTATACCTTTGCTTAATACAAGTATGACGGTATAGGCGAAATTCGAAGTGATGCCAAAACTACGGGTTCGAATTTTATGCCGTTTCAAAAATCATATGACTTCGCTCGACAACACAAATGCTACCGGTTCTCTTTCATTTCTGTAGGGCAAACCATATCGCCTTAACCCTTTCTACATAGACTACCCAGTTGTGAGACTTACAATCTAACTCCATAAAGTATTTACGACATTTGAGTAGCCAATCCAGGCATGTCACATCGGCGGGCTCACAGACGTCAAACGCCACCAGTAATCCTTCCAAAGATCTTGTCTACTGTTCTGTCTAGACGGCAAGTAAGGACTGGAGGGGGGGGGGGTAACTTTAAGGATAAATTATTTCTATTTCAATTGAAAACGACTTGCTTTAGTTGCAAGTTAAAGTTTGAGATAATCCGGGATTGAGGGGTTTAACTTACAACCTGGAAACCATACTCCCCATGCAGACGCTTAGGTACTTGCTCATAGATAAAGTCGCAGGCGCGTTTCCCTGGTGCCGTGCGTTGTCTTTGCTGCGGACAACTGGACTGGTAGGTAGGCACAACTAGTTTTTTTACAAAAATGGAAGAACTCGCTGTTCCTCTGCACAAAGATAGCAAATTGAAAACCTATTTTGAAGCTAACTGAAGCTTTCTTTTGGCATGAGACCTCTGTAGGCTTTATTTGCTCTTGGACGTAGAAGTTGAAGTGTGGATTGTCGGAGAATCTGAGATGGACATTTCTTCCCTATTTTCGAGTTTCCATCGGTTGTACAGAACCTAGACAAGACTCAAATGCTTTACGTTCTATAGTTGATATGTGAATGCTTATTCGACATGATCAGAGTAGCGTGTTGCCAAGCTTTGTGGCCACCATTATATTCCCGGAAACCACACGGTCGAAGTTCCCCATGACCGGATAATTGGCAAATAGCCGGATTTTTGTTATTTATGTTCTGAAATTGATTCAGAGGTGTTTTGACAGATTTTGAATAACTCACTTTGACCCAACCGTGCAAAACTCGGTTCCTCAGTGGGATTCGTACTCACGACAGCAAATGGAGGCTTTAGTACAGCCAAGCCTCTAACAATCTGAGTTACGGGATCCCATCAGATGAAGCGAGTTTAATTACATTTGGGTCAAGTTAACCCGCCCAACCAAACGTGAGCATGGTAGTCGTCTGATGGATTACAGATGTATTACTTAGGAAATCCTGTCTGGGCACTCAGCCTACTGTATCAGATTTGGTGGATTCCAGACGTTGCAGTAGGTTGGGCCGGTGAACTTGACCCAAATGTGATTAAAATCGCGTCGTGTGGTGGAGCCTCGTAGTTCAAGTGGCTAAGGCGTTGGCTGTGCTAAAGCCTCACCTTGCTGTCGTGAATTCGAATTCCACCGAGGCATCAAGTTTTTCGCAGCTAGGTCAGAGTGAATTCTGAAATTAATTATTTGAAGATGAACAGCTTGAATGGCTTCAAATTAGAACCCAGATTCTACATGTTTTTTCTGTTTTTTTTCACACTTTTTATGCAAACGTCTTTACTACCTCTACAACCTCAAAATTACCAGCGATTTTTAGACTTCACCTCTTTCAGACTGAGAACAAGTTTTTTTTAAAAAAGAAAGATCACCCCTGATATGCTTCAGTGCTTTAAATATCAGACTAACCAACTACAGCTCTTTGAGACACGAATGTCAAAGTTTCGCTTGAAGCAAGGTTAAGGACAGTAAACTTGTAAGACGAGTATCTAACCCTCACAGTCTTGAAGAGATCAAACCTTCTTCGCTAGCACTCCGGATAAAAAAAGTTGTTGTATCGATGTGAGGCATTCAGTAGACGGAACTTCTCTGCCCTCCAACAACACTACCTCACGGAAGTAAGAAGAATTTTAACAAGGCTCAAAGGGAGCAAAAACATGTCTTCATAAAGTCATACCTCGAAAACTGACGACGTCCTAAGTCCTACGTCGTTTATCAGCCTAGCCTGGTTCCCGGTTATTGTGTGAAAGGAATGTTTTTAACTGTTAAAGTAGCTTGAGCTATTGTTGCCACCTGAGTGAGAATCTGTTTCATTGCACCTACTTATAGTAGTTATCCAATCAAAAGCCTTAGAGTACTTTAACCATTAGAACTGGTTGTAGTTAGTTCCCTGTAAAAAGCATCACAAACTGCACAACTATCCGCACAATTCTAGTGTCTTGATTTCCATCGCTCAAGGTTTCACTGCACAAGGCCGTTCTGGCACCCACTAACTCCGCCGAGGTGGCTGAAGAGAATCTAGATCCAGAACAAGCGGACCAGGAGATCGCGAGTGAGGACACCACCGTGGCCCCGACAGAAAAACCGGTGAACACTGCACAGGTGAAGGAACTGGTATGTGGAGGAAGCCTCCTTACGCCCTCCTGGGTCTTGACTGCGGCTCACTGTCTGAAGCCCATCGTCAAATCGACCCCGGTTCCGCTTGGACGACCATTCAGCCTGCATGACCTGGCCAGTGGTTTTGGTCTGGTGGCTCGTGTGGGATCCCCCACCGAGGACTCGGAAATGAGCAAGGAGTATATGGTTGCGTCTGCGATCATTCATCCCGAATGGCGACCACGAGCCCTTGATGGTGGTTATGATGTTGCTCTGCTCCAACTGGTTTCACCAATATCGCCCGGTGAGCACTGCTAAGTCTGCCAAAAATCAAATCTCCAAAGTTGGGTGTCATGCTCACGCTCTTCAGTTATTTCCTCCGGCCATTTTCTGCGTTGACTATATGCAGCAGCTGGCGAACCTCTTGAAATGTTAACTAAAATTCTTAAATTGGTTTCCCGTTAGAGAAGAGTACTTAGGCAATGCCATACTATTAATTATCGTGCCGCACAGTCCCAGAGTATTTCTGTCATTACAGGACGATGGTTTTTGAATGTGCATCATCCTGGCAGCAAACAATCATTTAAGTAGCGTGATTTTTTCCTCAATTTTCAATGCCTATGTAGATTAACAAATATATTTCATAGAAGAGTGTGCACAATGTCCATTTTATGCTCACCCTCTTTAATTTATCTACTGAAAGAAGCGATTTCACCAGGTTCTCAATTCTCAAGTAATTTTGAACCCGATTTGTTGCTGTGTTTGTGTTAACGCTCTCCAGGCCACAAGTTGTTCACTTTCTGCTTAAGGAAAAACATACATTTTCTCCCCATTACTAGGAAGATGCCATATGAGACTCGCTAATTTTGCAGTTGATGTGGACCGTATGCATACTTCTGAGGGTGCATTAATAAACCGACGAATACGATGCTATTCTAATGGACGCTTGGCGATCTGGAAAAACTTCGTAAACACACAAAAACATCCACATTCTAAACCGAAAGCTACCATTTTTGAGTAAAAAGTTTAAAGAAAATGTGATTTTACGTCAAATGAGTAGATAAAAGTGTATTTTTACAAATGCCTGCATTAAAACATATTCGAATGCACAAAGACACCAGAAATCATCCGAAAAGACTATGTAACTTAAGTGATCATTTGTCACCGAGTTTAGTTTCTACAAGCAGCCGGGAGGAGGTTCATTTAAAAGCCGACACCTTGGAGTGGTAGCTACGTGATTCCCAGTATTACATCCCCGCCCCCAAGTAACCCTTTCTAATCGAAAAAATATCTTATGGAATACGCCGCCTGCTGTCGGTGGGGTATGAGTCATAGGATCATGGCAATGGTCTTTTTGTGAATAACATATAGTATAGCATCGATCCCTTCCGTCATCGGGGGGACAGGCGAGGGAAACTGCTCCTTGTCACAACCAAAAGCATCTGGTTTCAGGCGGATAGTTGATCTGCACACAAGATGATAAGCACGGAGTTTAAAACGAAGTAAACTTTAAGCCTGGTTGCAATACACCCTATACAATTTTACCTAGGAAAGCGGTTTCTGACGTTAATTAGTTACGTGACTTCGTTTAGCCCTGCAACTTCAGGTGATCGCCTAAAGACCAAAACATTGATGTGAAGCAGTCATCTACTAATTTGTCACGCCAGTACGCTCCCCGTCTTTCCTGCTCTGCCTCAGATCTCCACTCTTACCACGTCCTTCATTTGCAGATGAGGTAGGCGTGGACACGATCTGTCTTGCGGATGTCAATGCTACCCTCAACGCCTCCAGTGAGTGCTACGTGGTTGGCCAGAAAAGCAGGCCGATGCCGCGTCCTTGGGGGGTGCGACTGCTGGACGACTTCTTCGGTTTCGGTTTCCACCACTTTCCATTCGTCTACCGCCCACCTCAGGAGGGCCATCACAGCAGCAGCAGCAGCAGTGGTGGCAGAAGCGACAGCTCCAAGTCTGCGGGTCTGCAGGAGGCTCGGTTGATACCTTCGTCACTGCGGAAATGCGTCCGGTGCTCACCCGCTCTTAGTGATGAGCTGCATATCTGTGCCGGCAAACGAGGCAAGGTGAGCACTGGTACTACTGATCAAGACAAGGGAGACTGCAATGGCCATTTCTGGTTTATTAGCCATCGTCAGTCAGTCATACCCCACCCCAAAGTGTGAAACACCTGGAGCTCGATCCCGCGACCTGTTAGTTCGAAGTCCACTGAGTTACGGGCTCGTTGTCCTGTCGGTTACGATCAGGAATATACAATGGTAGAGGGGCGCTCGCCGGTCGTTTCTACGGAGCTCACTCGTCCCGTTGTGCCTTACGGGTCCTCTTGAACCTATATCATGCGCCGCTGTGCGGCTGCTGGTTGGGCTCAAGAGAGAGCCTGCAGGCCACAACTCGACGAGTGAGTTCCGTAGAAACGATCGGTGAGTGTCCTTCTACCAAGACGAGCACTTTCTGCCGTGACCACCATGTCCTAGAGACATTGCAGCCTTCGTTCCCGACTGTGTCCACCATGTGTTCCACGACAACCTGAGAGCAGGGACTGTGACATGCGTTCGATTTGCTTTGCAACGATATTCGAATAACGCTGCACCTAACGCCCTTTGTTCTCCTCCCTAACGTGGGCCCGGTACCATGACAGAGTCATGAAGACCGGGGTCGAGAGAGGTCTCAGGTAGCCGACACGGCGCAAACCCGCACCTAGGCGTACCACTACACCTCTTGGTCCACAAAGAACACTTGACCAGGACTTTAGACGACAGCAGATATGATGACGGGGGGGGTGACACGGACCCCAATTGGTCCGACTTGAGCCTGCAACTGCGCTCGCCACCACTTCCCGAATGTTGGCATTTGTTATGGGTGCGCAGTCTCGACAACCCCTGTTGGACTCCGGTCTAGCCCCTCTGTTGGTTCAGCCCATTCGCCGCATGGGGCGTTGCCCCTACGCGCCATATGCGCACCAGATCGGGGTGCGGTGCGCATTAATGGACTGCGCACCCATAACAGACGCCATACGCGCGTATGGGGGGGTTGTTGCGCCACACGAAGGCGCAGACCCACACCGCGTCAGCCATCGGCATTCGATCCCGTCTTCGGTCTTCTTGACTGTCTTGCGAGTGGGATCGGTTGAGTGACCGAGAAGAGTGGCGGTAAAGGCACTGCCAATCTACGCTCATTGTAAACCGAGATTCTGAAGTATGTGCTTGCGATTGAAGAGAGTTGCCTTAGGTGGGACTGTAAAATCGATTATCATGCAGCGTAATCCTAAGATCTGTCCGTCACGCCAGAATGCTGGCTTTTAAAAGTGTGTCTCTTAAGCCGCCCATGTCCACTCGAAAATTGTATGAACCCTATGTAGTGTTTTCCTAAAATCATGGAGTAATATATAATTTTACTCATATGGATATTACGCAGCTTGCAGACTGTAAACCCCGAAATGTAAATGTAACGGCAGAGCAGACCCAAAATTAATCGGGAATTTAAAGTTTCATAGATACCTAAATACAGCCGGCATGATGCGTCGTTAAATGAGCTCAAGAACGCGTGTTCTGAAGTATGTTTTATATAAAATATATTCGAATATATAACGGCACCAAAAACGGATGGGAAATGAAAGTTACTTAGATTGTTGTTTTTTACCGAATACGGTTTTCACATCCTGGCTTGATGAAAATATACCCTGGGATTATTACGCACGATAATCAATATTGCAAACTCGCATAAGTAATTCTTCAGAATCGAAGGCACATTTCAGAATTTTGCCAAACAGTTAACAAGATTAGTCACTGACTGTATGCATGCACCGGACTGTATGTCCGTCACTATCGTTGATGACCATAGCTGTCTTGTTGTGGTTTATCTTGAGTGTTTAACTGCCCGGAGATTTTAAAGCATCTTAAAGTGACCGCACGCGTCTACGCGCATATTTAGGCTTGCCCGGGAGTGATGGTCTGGGCAAGGCTGAGGACTAAGTTCTTAATCTGGTTAAGTTAAATGTGGCAGGGATCAAATAATTCGGAAAAAGCTTTTCAGGAAACGGGATTGTCACTGTAATTAACATTGTAGATAGCAAAACAACCTCTCAGAAATGGTTCCCAAACACTTCCCAAAAGATAATTCGGAGTTCTTGTCAAAAAACTTAGAAATTGGAACCACGCTCCTCCACCCTGCTCCGGAGACTTTTTGCTGATTTGCCGGGAGATAGGGTTTAGTGTTTGGGTTAGGGCCAGGATTAAGGTAGGATTCATTTATATTCAACAATACTCAAGACTGGTTAATTTCACCCTACGGCAGAATCCTGACAGGTTACACCAACTTCAGTAATTAACATATCTGGCTTTTTTCAAGGAAAACTCCCTCAGTGGCCTTTTCATTAAACAGAAGCAAACTCTTACGCATTTCTTCTTTATTAATTCCTCCAAGGCAACCTGTCCTGGTGATAATGGAGGCGGGCTTTACTGTCGCGATTGCAAAACTGATCGATGGTCTATCTATGGAATTCTTGGAGATTACTCCAGTCGACGGTGCTCTGAGACTTACAGTCTTTTCAGTTCAATTTCCAGCGTCTCCGAATGGATCCACCAACAGATCCAGTGAATAAGTCAAATTATACCCTCTCTGCCCTGATTAAACGCTCCCGTCCACCTTTCGCGCCTAACATTCTGACAAATTTTTCGAGTACGCCTTTATGAAGTGCACATCTGAGCGTTTAAATATCACTTGCATACGCCTTTACTGTTTCTTTATTAATCTACATTTGAAGTGTTGCATAGTTTCGTTTGTTCGGTATATCAAGTTTTTCGTTTGAAGTACTAACTTAGCGATACTGTGATGAGCAGTTATCTCTTCAATAGGAGGGCTTTTTAAAAATTAGAATGTTTGCAAAAAGGTTATACCGAATGACAATACGCTCGCTCACAATCTTTCCCTGTATATAGGCGTTAGTTCAGTCTAAGATACACCCTCGAGGTTTGTATTAAGAAATAATGAACAACATTTAGAGGATAAAGCAGAGCCGCGACGTGGTTGATATTTATACTTTGCACAGACTAGTGCTCTCTCCAGAATACTCTCATGGGAATTTCGAAGTTTAAATGACCTCGAGACGATAATTCGGGAAAGACGAAACAATATTTGGATTTCCTTCTGCAAGTGGCGGCCATCAAGCTACACTGTATTTGGCAGTCCTGGCAATCTTTCATAGGTGATTGGTGCCGGCCACTCACGGATATCTCATCAAGAAAATGGTAACTCAAACTCTGCACAAATGAGACTCGTAATCATCTTCGGGACAGATAACTGCTATCTTCGTTCTAATATTGCCAACTACTTGGTAGTAAACAATTGGCGGAACGAAAAACGTCTGCTCTGGGGTCCAGCTGAAAAACCGACCTTTTGAATACCAGTCGCATGCTCTACCACTGAGATTATCTGATGACATTTAATGCAGAGTATTTTTTTAGACCGGGAGAAGTGAGACAGGCTGCAGCCTCCGTGGCTTACCCGCTCCGAAGTGGTCTATGGCGTTAAAAAATCTCTAGTAATGTTTTATTTTTGAAGTCAGGCTAATCACAGGTCAGTATCTGTGCACGTGCAAACTCCTATAGAAAATGCAATCCGGCCTTTTTAACTCACAGAACCGCAGTCGTTTGACAAATAGAGGATGTTACTCTGAACCTTGACTGCACGGCACAGTGCTTAAACATTCTGGTAAACACTTCATCCACAAGTGCAGCTGTCCTTCATCCAGGGACCTTATTTTGCGCGGATGAATCACAAAAGGCTTGGAGCCTAGGTGCTTAAGTGATCTTGAGAAAGACCCCTCGTGGGTGAATTTGGACATGGTTGGCTGCATGACACCCCCGACTAAACCGTTAATTGTAAGCACGGCTACAGGCAGCAACCCGTATTTGTAGTTAATTATGCTATGGTTGCCGTGAATGTTATTTCTTAAATCTCCGAATCTGGTTGACCATAAACGTGAAGATCACATGCCTTTCGTAAATAAGTCTATTTAAAAGAAAAAGAATCTCCGGTCTTACTACTGGAGAACCTTAAAAATTGTCCGAACTTAGTGGTTTTTTTGTCAGAACCTAGCTATATGTGGGATCTATTGTGCCAGTGGGGATTATGTTGGAGTAGGATGGTAACCGTAATGATTTTGCTTGTGTGGATGGTTATGTATTGCCAGACCTAAAGAGAGAAGACAGTAATCAGTGTGGAGCCTAATTAGCTTTTTGGGAAAGTCGCCAACGCGTTTTAATCCGATTTGATTAGGCCCTAGCGGGAATCTCTAAACCTGACTTCGATGATGCCATTTTTTACATCGCGTTCCTGTTTCGATTCGGATGCAGTTTTAACATCCAACTTACAGTAAACGGAAATATCGTAACCATCGGAAGGGTTCTGGGATGTTTGGTGTGGATATGACGTATTTCTGGACGAAGTGACGACACACAACGCACGAGCATGCTCACGAATAAGTTATCTGAAAGAAATTAACCTTATCCTCGAGGTCGAAGCCGCTGCAACTGTCGGGGATACTCACTTTCCGGCCTCAGGCTGCGTGACATAAGTATCAACGCGAATCATTAGACTCTGGGGTAGCGCTCTCAGTGTTGTCTTACGAAACAGCACAAGTTTGGCTGAGAGGTGGATTAAGCAGAGTCCATGCGGATAGCGTGCATCGGAAGGAAACCTGCGTTCAGAGTAGGGGGCCCGTGTAGGCCGCTGCGCAGCGGCGAATTACCACTCATCGGAGAGTTCTAGGTCAGATGTGGTTATGTAGCCCCACCTGAAGTGAACAAACCCCAGTCACCTGTAATACGAGACCGGTGGTAGTAGGGTTTTTTACAGGTGGGGCAGGAGAACGCACAGGTGACGAGGTCAAGTAACTGGATGCAAAGAAAAAACTATTGGGAATGCGCGGTTGTACTTTGAATGGTTGAAAACTAATTGTTCTATCCCCCAACCCTAACCTCTAGCCTTAACCCCTAACGCTAACCTCCAACCACAACCCCTAACCGTAACCCCAACACTAACCCCTTGCCATAACCTCTAACCCTGGTCGCTAACCCCAACGCCAACAGCATTGTGCCCATTAGGTGGGGCTACATAAATACATCCTGCCGAGTTTTACTGAGAGAGAACCTATAGACACGAGTGACCATGCCTGGCTTCTGTTACTCAGTATAACTTCGTTTGTGTCCTTGCCGATAACATCCCTCGGTTCCTGGCCGATATACAAAGGCCTGCAGGGTCTTCACGCCCAAAACACCAAGCCGCATATGCAGCCAGTTACGACCTACAATAAAGACGAGCTAATTATCATTACACTTGTAGGATCTTTTATACTGCTGCCCAGAACAGATGAGGTCTCCTCGATCTTTTTGACAAATCGATTTTAGAGTTACGAAAATTTTTATGAAGGTATTCAGAAGACCAGCCGGCGAGCATACGTGTGTTTCAACAAATTCTCATTGGGCCAATACATTTATATGGGAACGGTTAAAGATAGGAGAAATCAGCTAAAGTTTGTCTGTCCATGCAAGCGGGACGTGGGAACAAGGGATGGGGGATAAGAGACAGCGAGTTAGGAGGCAGTGAGAGTTAGCGGAATAGGGGAAGAAAAGGTGCATATAATTAGCCGACCTGTGGAGCAGGTTGAATTGGTCGAACGAGTAGGCGCCCATACAAAAAATACGGGAACACCGCCCGGCACGGTTGAGATAAGACGAAGTAAAAGAACAAACGCCATTCTCACACACATTGCCGATTTCGGGCATACTGAGGATCCCAAAGCAACCTTTCAAGTGATTTACAAGGTCCCACCGAACCACCCTAAGTCAATTGGTTAGCGTCTGCTAGCAACAGCAGAAGCGACTGCCGTCAGGTTACGAAAGCAGGTCTTGTGGGTGCAGAGGAATCTGCTACAAGCTCCACAAATTATCGTGGCCAAAGGTCTGTTAATTGCATGCACCTCTTTTCTTCCTCCCCTGTCCCTCTTACCCTCACTGCCTTCTAACTCACTGTCTCTTATTCCTCTCCTCCCCCTTGTTCTCACACCCCATTTGCCCTGGCCCAATATAAATGTGCTGGTCAGAGAGAATTTGTCGAAATCACACGTATGGTTGCCAGCTGGTCGTCTAAACTGGCTTTAGTTAACTTAAGAGATCTCTGGTATCGCGCTGACTACTTGCGTTTTAATATGTTAAACCAGGACATAAACATACAAGTGCTCAGACTACAGTGACAAAAATTTAAACGCATTTATGTGGACCCTCTAAGTAGGACATGGAAATGGGAAGGTCCCGCCCAAGTAATAAAGGTGGACCCGAACATAATTCCGGAAATGGCAGAGTATTTCCCTGTCCTAACCTCAAAGATAACCCTGATATAAAACTAAACTGCTGCCCCGAACTTGACCCTTCACTCTGCAGTTAGTACTAGCCCTTACCTTAACTCTGAACTTGATCCTGACTTACTTCACCACTAACTGTAAATTTAGCCTCTCTGAATCTTGACTCGGGAGTTTACAGAACCGGTTCGGCAGTAGGTTGGCTTAAAGAAGTAGAGCTTATTTTTAGTAACACAAAAATTTCCCAAAAATTTGGTCGCAAAAACGGCTGGCCACCCTAACCTCTATCCTGAATAACCGGCATTCACCATGCTACACGACAGTTTGACCGTCGTGTCTGACGACGTCCACCGTGTGTTGCACAACATGATGAAGCAGGCATGATGACTGGCGCAGGAATTTGTTTATAGTGAGAGTTAATTTGCGTAGAATCCACCGCACTCCCGCCTCCTCTCATAGGTCCGGCGTCAAGACATAGTCAAGAAGACCGGAGGCGGGAGAGGGCACAGGTAGCTGGCACGGCCGGACCCGCACCTAGGCGTGCCACCACATCCTCTGGTTCACAACGTACACTTGACCAGGATTTCAACCAACGACTGCACAACAACGGGTCAAAAAGAGGAGGATGACTGGGCAGCCATGCTCACGACCTCTATACCCGGCTGGAGAGCAAAGGCATCTACTGGCAGGGAACCAGGTGCCAGAGAACTGCCAGCGCATACCAGGCAGTGAGGACTACGGTTTGCTGAATAATGGCATAGCAGGCGCTCACAAACCATAAGGCCCAGAAGGGTGACACGCAGGGAAACCAGTCAGTCGTCGACTGAGAGGCACTACCCCTGTACACACATTTCACACATGTGTGAGAGTGCAAGAGGTCACGTTGAGAAGGAACCATGGCAGTCTGACTCTCAGCCAACCAGTCCGCCATTCCACAAAAACACACACAACTGGGCTGACTGTGTGGTCTGAGTTGAGGCTTTAGTCAGCAGCCTTCCAAGCCCCGGCACTTAGCGCACCTCAGACTCAGACTCGGATCACACATGCAGCAGAGGAGCCGCATGGAGAAGGAGCCGGGAACCAAACGCTCCATTTGTGTGGGAGGTGGTAACTGAATCCCTGGATTGTATGATGATGGGTGATGTTGTTCTGTGGTGCAGGTGGGGGAATTTTTGATGGTTTGGTGTAGCCGGCTGTTGTCCACCGCAGGTTTTCACGAATGCGCATGTAACTTACTAGG